GGCAGGGGCGGCGGCGGCGGCGGCGGCGGGCGCGGGGGGCGGCGAGGGCGGCGGCACCAGCGGCAGCGGCAGCAGCCCGCCCAGCGGTTGATGGGGCGGCTGCAGTCCCAGGTGCACACCTGCGACTGATTTTATTTTTCTGGCTCGCATTGTTTGTCGGGCTCTTCTTGCTTGGCCCCCCAGCATGTAACCCCGCACCACTCTGGCGGGCCCCACAGAGCCTGCTGCTGATGCAGGCGCAAACGCGTGCTGGCGCGCAGGCAGGGCACACATGTGCCAAAGGCAGAGCCCCTCAGCCCTGGGTCCCACTTCGCAGCAGGAAATGCTTGGTTCGTGTTGTTGCTGCAGGGGCGCTTGGCGCTCTGCTCTGCTGGATCCGTTCAGGATTTCAATGGAGGTGGCGTTACATGTGTGCACGAGGACAACTTGCTGTGACCTTGGCAATGACGCGTGTGTGGGCCGTCAAAGTGTGAGGGTGCTTGAAAATGCTTGCGACGTGTTTTGGTCAAAAAAGGCCGGTGCTGCAAATTGACGGCGGTGGCAGCTGGCGGTCAGCTGGGTCTGGATGACACAGCCGGAGCCTGGAGAGACTGCAGAGGGGGCAGCCTGTGGCGCACGCTACGCGGGTATCCATGAAAGCCCGCCCATCGCACTGCAACCAGCACCGCTCGCTACAGCTCTCTAGCACGGCGGGACTCGCGATCCGAAACAAAGCCACCTGGTGACCAGACAGCTCAAACAAGGGCCAGACCGGCACTGCTGACATCATCGAGGCCGTACAACTCCCACATACAGGATACAACACCATTCAAAACCCCCATAAACAGCTACGGCTCGTCAGCCGACGGCAAGAAGCTCCTCGCGTTGCGCCCCCTCGGCGCCACGGCCCGTTCCCGCGCGCCCCCCGCGACGCCGCCGCCGCCCGGGGCGGCGCCGCTCTCGTCCGGATAGCGCCCCTCGTACCAGGCTAGATCGTCGATGTAGTCCTTCTCCCCAGGCCTAAGCGGCCTGTACGCGCGCGCCGACCCCAGGCGGCCGGCGGCCGGGCCGTTGTTGTTGGATATGAGGCCGCCGCCGGGCAGCAGCTCGCGGTCGCCGGCGGCGGCGCGGATATCAGCCATGGGGCCAGAGAGGCGGGGGCGCTGGCGGCGGGTGAGGTCGTAAATGGCGTTCGGGTCGGCCCTGGGGTGGGTAGGGGGGATTTTGGGAGGGTGTGGGGTTGAGGGAATGGAGGGGGGGGCGAGGCGAGAGGATGTGGGTGTGCTCTGGTGTGCGCACGTGTTGGTTGTCAAACGCGTGCTTTGGGATGGGATGGGATTCGTGCTCGCGTGAATGTGTGCGTGCACATGCACACGTACTTAGATATGCATGGCGCGAATGTGTGAGTGTGTGTGTGCGTGTGTGTGTGTGTGTGTGTGTGTGTGTTGTGGCGTGTGCAGGCGAGTGTGTACCTTGAGCAGCCACCGCGTTGCGGCCGACACTATGCAACCGCAGGCCCGCCCTGCAAGGGGAGAGGCCCTCCCTCACCTGTACAGCAGCTTCACCAGCAGAAAGTAAACCACGACCAACGCCGCAGTCATGCGCGGCAGGAACCACTTCGTCTCGTGCAGGCCGGAGTCGGTGATCTGGGGGCGCAGGCGCGGCAAGTGGTCGAAAAAAGCGGCGGCGGGCCGAGGGTTGAGAAAAGCTGGGTGTGCGACGGGTGCTGTCACCTTTCCACCCCTCGCTGCCGCATTTATTATGCTTGCAAAGGGGTGCCGCCGAGGCTGGATTGGGGCGAAATGCTGGGCAACGCCAACATTACAAGGCTGACGCCCACCGACCCTTGCACCCACACCCTGCCGGCGCCGCCGGCGCGCCCCGCTCGGGGGCCGCCGCCACAGAGGTGTGTACACGGCGCCCGGCCCGCCCGCGACCGCCCGCACCTGCTTCGCCGCCCACGCCATGCCGAGGCCGACCGGGACGAGCAGGTACTGGCTGACCTGGCCAAACGCGGTGCGCGTGGCGTCCTGCGGCGCGGTGGCGGCGAGGCCGCCGAGGGTCATGATCTTCAGGAATCCCGCCAGCAGGAAGGTGTAGCCCGGGCCCTGGAAGCGGCGGCCAAGGGCGACCTGGCGGGGCCGCGGGCGGGGGCGGGCGGGGGGTGGGCTCTCAGCCGCGGCACGGCCGGCCGGGGG